CACTGACAAGAGCATAAGCATGGCTGAGCTGCTGTGCCCAGTGCTGGAATCCACCAGTGAGGAGCTAGGAAGGAAGAACAGACATGCTCACTTGGAAGCTAGTTAGATGGAGGGAGTACCTACACAGAAAGGTAGTATTGGTCTCCACTCTGTTTTTCCAGTCTGCAATTGCCCTGCATACTATCAGGGCGGGGAAAAGCTGGTTTCAATATTAAGAATAGCTGATCACAGCTTTTAAGGAAAAGTACACTCCTCTACTATGCCTGGGGAAATTTGTTCTTTAGTAAAAATTGAGATGTATCTCTCGATTGAGGAAGTAGAGGAAGGACTTGAATGCTCTCTTAGTCCTTAATTACAGCAGCACCATTGGGAACTTTAGATTAAGTACTAAATACATTGGTTAGCTTTTGCTTCTGTGTTGTTCTGGTAAAACACTTCTGCATGAACACATCTGAAAAGTTTTACATTAATAAGACCCACTGAGCAAACAGACTCTCCTGGCCAGCCATGCATGTCCAATAGGACATGCCTTTGTTACTCCTTTCATTATTCAACCAACTAGAACTGTCTCTGTTTCTACTTAAGACTTATACATTATAAACTGGAAGGGGGTTTTGAAGTCATATGATAAAATCTCCCAATCAAAATTCATGGAATCAGAGATTCAAAGAAATTAGAAGAACCCAAGGACTAGTCAGTTCAATCTCAATTGTTGCAAATAAGTAAGTACACACACAAAGTCAAGACCCAAAGAAATTATAGATTTTTCTCAAGACCATCCAGGATTCAATGGTAAAGCTACTCCTAAGAAAGTCTTCCTTCTACCCCTCTTGATAGCTCTAGAAAAACATAACACTACATATAAGAGCCTTGTACAACACCATTTTAGGCATTAATGAAATGTTTTGGGTGATTTATCTTCTTCCCTTTCTCTCCAGGATAACAGATCACTGAACTCATATCTCCCAGACTCCCAAAAGCCACTCACCTAATGTCAGCTGTGTGACATACACAATGACTCGGACCCCGGGCTTCAGCTCAAACTGGACCAAGTTTTGGTTGAGAGCATTAAACAGTGTCTCTACAATCTGGAAAAGAAGCACAAGTCTGCATGGGAAGACATGACATATGATGATGCTTCTCCATCAGGTAACTGGCAAAAAATTACCAGGCTTAAGCAGGGGACAGGATATTAGAATGTCTTTATCAACTTGGTCTTCACAGCCCTCAGAGCCATGTGAAACCAATGAAGTGGTGGTATTATTTGCTTGTACTGGAGAGGAGACAGAAAGAGATGTCCACAGTCACTGTTAGAAGCGCTAATAGACATAAGTATTTCATTCAACTCCTGGTTCAGTATTCTTTCATCATTGCCTTGGTAACCTAAGACCTGTTGTGGATTCCTATGAAAGAAAGTCAACTCATCATTAGCTCTTTAATCGGATCAAGTTAACACACACAGAGTAAGACACTCCAGTATTTAAGCAGGCACAGATAGCCCCAGCCCACTCCTCTGCATTTTCTATCTTAAAGACAATGGGAGGCAAACATCAAAGCAGAAGCTTCCTCCGTTTTATAAGATAATTTTTCCTCTTTACTTTTACCCAGCAAGTCTCAGAGCACATAACAACGATTTAATCACTCTTCAATTCCCACATGAAAGCTGAGGCAGACTTAGGCTGTTGTCCCTAACTCTTATCTCGCTGTACGAGCCTTAATATCACAGCTGCTATTCATCACTGTAATTACCTATTTATCTAAATGGATGGATATTGTAGCTTCCAAATATAGTTCACAAACATGCCACTTGCTATTTCAGAATAAAGAGGTCTTGGAAAAGTGATGTGTGCATTGAGAAGGTGGGTTTATCTCTGGCCAATTTCAACATGCAACCCCAAAATCCAATGAAATGTTTCCTGTTCCACAGAAACTGACTACAGTGGAAAATATACCACTTAAGTTCTATGCATAGATGAAGGGAAGTAAGCACCAGAGGGGCACAAGCCTGTGTCTGTACAATGGTTACCCCACACAGGAGCAAATGTGTTTGATTCATGCCAATTTTCAGCAACCTCATCCTTGCTTATTTTCACTTCTACCGGCTTAGCATCATGCAAAGTCAGGGAAGGGAGACCACAGAGCTGCCAATAAGATTCCAGTAGGAGCAGTAAGTGAGATGAACAGTGCATGGCCCCCCCTCTTTTGCTTCCAGGATCATGTGCACATCACAGACACAATATGCCCATTTGATGAAGACAGTAAATCACAACCCTCTTTGGAAATACTGCTTCTTCAGTCAAAGCAAGATGAGGCAATCCATCTCTCTCCAAAGAAATGTGTTTAAAAGCAGTTCATTTTCTCTCCAGAAGCAGAGCTTAAATTGACTAGGATCTCTAGGGTCAGTGCAGTTAAAGACAAGAAGCATATATTTGCATAAATAAATAGGGGAAACTCAAGCCAACCCCCACCCTTCTTCTCCCTCTCTCTCCACCTGCTGCCACTCCAGGAAAAGTCATTGGAGGGAGACATGAGCAAGGTTGCAGGGATGCCAACCATTGGCAAGAATGATGCCAGGGTGCTATTGCATCCTATAACTCTGAATGCTCCCTGATATTTGCATTTTTGTTTATTCTGGGTAAGACTGATTGTTCTTCAAAACCCTAAGTGTTAGGCAAAGAGAAACAAGTTAGTGGGTTAATGGAACAGAGTTTGTTTCTTTTTAGGATGAAAACAGTTTTTTGTCCCCTTAGAGTGTGTGATGCAGGCAAGTATACCTGCCAAGTTTCCTTCACTTACTTGTTCTAAGTCTCCTTCGTGGCCTTTCCTCCTCTCAGTCAAGTTCTTGGGTGGGAGGATGAAAAGTTCCGCTGAAGTGGGGAGGCCGGGGAACACAGCCACAAGGATCTGGTCTTCTGGGACACTGGTTACCTGCAAATCATTTAGTGCAAATAGTGAGGTTCTAAGGAGCCAGTCCTCCCCAAATGGGTAACCAGAGTACGCACAGTCATAGGATGCAAACAAGTTTGTAATTTTTTAAAAGGTAGCATTTTAAGAACAGACTGCAGTGTACAGCCAGGCCTCCTTTCTGTGTCCCCCCTAGAACTGCTAGGCTAAGAATTATTAGTTCCCTCTGCTCTTTAATACATTTTTACTGAAACTAAAATAGCATTACAAATGAATTTCAAGACATTATTTGCTGGTTGTATTTGCAATAGTTCCATATTTTTCCACTTTTCTGCACTAAGCACTAGAGCTTCTGGCTAAAACAGAAACAGACTGGCTGCAAATGGGAATGAATAGTTATAAACAAACACGGGAAATGCAAATTTAGAAAAAAAAAGCTGAGTAGCACTTGTTTCCACTTATTAAAGAAGGATTTTTCAAGTTTATTGCTAATGTTGGTGTGGGTACAGAGAAAGAGGTTCCTTCATTTGTTGCTGGCAGTACTAAAAATTGATACATATCAACAATTTGTTTTCCAAAAGACTTACTTCATGGCCATAAAATATTCATATCCTTTATTCAGTAACTGTAACTTGGTAAATTAGTCCTGAAGACATGATCCAAAACATAGGAAAAGCCATATACAGGAAAAAACACAACATTATGTAGAATAGAAAACAAATGGGATAACTCAAATACTCAAAAAAATTCACTCAGTGTACCACAAGCATCACCTGGTAGGGAATTATCCTAGCTGTGAAATGATAACGAGCACCAGGAGGCAACATGGAAGACTCCTGAGGGTGGCTGCATTCTGATCTATTTTCTTACATTTCTTTGGTTACAACTCTATAAAAATACAAATGCATATGGAAAAAAAAAAACTAAACTACTAAAAGTTGTTAAGAGATTGAGCTTATGAGTGAATTTTTCTATTCTTGAGTGCTTAGTAAAAGGATTATATTGCTTTTATGATAAAAACTTAAATGTTAGGTCTGTCTGAATGCAAATTCCTGAAAAAAAACATGGGTGAGATGGAACTGAGTTTTCCCCATTGCTTATACTTTTCCCTATGTCCCCTGAAGGCCTTTTATCCAGGTCACTATGCCTCTTCTATCAATTCAAACATGAGAGATGATTTGTGGTTCAGCAGTAATACTGCCTCATCCAAGGAGTCTCCCTTAACTATCTTTCCTGAATCTCACCTGAGCGCCTCCAGATCACCACGGCCACCACATTTTAGGGACACAGGTCACGTACACTGTGACATACAATTATGTCTGGATAGTGCAGTCTTTTCTCTGATAGGTTCTGACTGTGTATTTTTCCAGACATTCCTGGGGGTCTTTGTTGCTACCTCACTATTCCAAAGGATTCTTGACAGAGAAGAAAATAAATAGTTGCTGAATTGAATAGAAGTGGAAAGATGGGTTGTTTTCCATTTGTTCAGCTCTGATTCCTATTTGGAACTAAGCTTACAGATTGGAGTTAACTCTCAGGGATGTGAAAAAGAAAGGAGACTGCCAGCCTACATGAAAGTAAGAATCAGAATCAGCAGTTAGAAGCCTAAAAAGTCTACAGATCAAGGAAGCATTCTTTTAGAATTCCTGAGGTAGTTAGCCAGCCACTTCAGTCTCCTGCTGGGAGCTATGACCCCAGCCAGGGACCTTGGAGCCATTCATCCACATTCACTTAATCCTGTCCAAAGGGAGTGATATGTCTTCCTGAGACACAAGTCTTAGCCATCAACTGATATGGCTGGTTATTATTATTTAGTGGCATTAACACAGTAACCAAACAATTTCTTCACAAGCTGGTAAGTTTTTAATAAATGCACTCATGCAAAACACAACACAATTTTGGACATTATGGGTTTGAATATTTATGTTCCTCTCCCTACAATTCTTAAGTTTGATGTAGGATGTGAGGCCTTTGGAAGATGATTAGGCCATGAAGAAGAGCTCTCATAAATGAGATTAGAGTCCTTAGCTACCTTGCCTCAGTAACAAATCAGGAAATAGGTTCTTACCAGATATCAAATCTGTCAGGTCCTTAATCTTGTACTTTCTATTCCCCAGAATTATGAGAAATAAAATTCTGGCATTTATAACCCACCTAAACTATGGCCTATTGTTATGGCCACATATGTAAGACTGAGACAGTCTTTTACATACATAGAAGTCTCATTTTCATTTCTTTCTATGAATATCTTTTTGTTAAAACTTTTGAAGTTCTTGTAGACAGCCCCTACAGGAATGCTCATATATCATTCTCATTTATTTATTCTGCTTCCTTTCTGTCAACTAGCTCTCCATGTCTTTAAGTCTGTTCTCCTGTGCCTTGGGGAACATTAGTAGTCACAACTTCCCCAAAGCCCTGGCCCCCTGAGGCGGCCTCATGGCCTCCACAACATCAGTCCTTAAATCTCTGCCTCTAGCTTGAAACTCTGTTTGACTTTCAGACCCATATTTTAAACTTTCCTGGTCATTTTTACCCAATTATTTCTCCTGTGCTCCAAACTAATATAAAAGATCAAATCAATACTATTCTCCAAGTTTTGTTTCTCCAACACAGTTCCCATTTTGGTTAAAAACATAGCCATAGCCTACTCTTGTATCAGAAAGCTCCTCCTTCCCTCTTACCTATCCTGCATTTATAGTCAGTACTCCTATTGTTCAGTTTCATAATTAGCCTTTGACTCTTCCTTCTTTACGATCTTATTATCCCTGGTCTAGATAATTTCAGTGGTCTTTTTAATATCATTTGTGAAATTTCCCCTATCTTATGTCCTTCCCACCCTAGCAGTCTTTCCTCTACATTGCAAACAGAAATGGGCACATGGAATACAAATCTGTTAACAGAATTTTCCCACTTAAATAAAAATTAACATTTGAAACTCTCCACTGCCTACAGTTTAGCTACTGAGACCTTTTATAATCTGACCTCACCATCCTAATCCAATTTAAACCACACTTGTCCTTATTAATTATGGATTGGCTACACAAAACTCCATGCCATTTCCCAAACATGGTATACTCTTTCAGTAGTCCATAGCTTTGTATGTGCTGTTCATTCTACCTGGAAGAAAGTGTCTTTTCCCTGCTAACTGACATAGATCTTTTAAAACACAGTTCAAATTTACCCCTCCAAAACCTTTCCAATAGTTCAACAAGTATTAATCAAATTGCAATTCTGTGCTAAGCTTGTTCTTTCTTGGACAGGAAGAAATACTTTTTTCTTCGTGCTTCTGGGAGATGCTGGCTATGCCTCTATCACAGAACTAATTGCACATTAGACTTTATTTCTACATTTAATTTGACCACATTTTATTCAATATTATATTCTGTTGGTTAGTTCTTACAGAGGTTAACAAAACTGCTTTACATTCTCTAAAGCAAATCTGATGTTGGGTTAAATCTAGTGTTTCAGTTTCCTGTCTTGCAGCCTTGAGACCAATGGCAGTCTAATGCACCTGAATATCTGATTCTGAAGACACTATTCATAGACAATGAGCTAGCTACGTGCATGAGATTAGTGTAGACTCACTGGATGGTCCATTCATTAGTCCACTAAAGGTGTCAAGCCTCTGTCTCAGAAATATTTGGGATAAACAGTGGGACATTTTCCATCTCTAAACACTGTCCTGAACTTTCTTTCTCACTTTCTTTCTACCTCTCCTATTCCTCTCCCCTCTACTCTCCCTCCTTCTTTTCTTTTTCTCTTTTTACAGAGAAATAATCCTTATCTACCTGGAGGATAGTTGTTTAATCCATGAAGATGCATTATCTAATTCTTTTCATTGCTCACAAAGACTTAAAGATAAAGTCAACTTACTTTAACCAGAGCTCGCTTGATGACATTGCCAATGTCTTGCCTCCACTCAGGAATGTCAGGATTGTGGAAATCCAGATTAGGAGAGAAGGATAGGAGCTGGGACTGGAAGTATTCTGCAGGAAGACCGAATGCACAAGTGAGACTGGCAGAGTGAGATGTGAGAGTGTGTGAGAGCTACCACTATGCCTTAGGCAAAGAGTCTACTCTCATAAGGCCTCAGCTACAATTCCTTACTTTCAGCTTACTTTTTGGCTTCTGAAAGAAAGCGGAATTTGGTGACTGGAAGCAGATCTGTACTCCTACAAGTGGTGTTAATTGCTAGGATCCTAAACCTTTCTTCTTGTAAAGAGCATTGCCTGAAAGGAAAGATAAGCAGGAAACCCCAAAGGAGATTTGTGCATTTATAGGTATTGTCCTGCGGATCCAACCCAAAGCACTAATAATTGGGGCTTGGTTGGAATGGAAGCTTTTCACTTCTCCCTTCAATTCCTTTGTTCATTATGCTAGAAACTGCCTGATAGGAGTAGAAAGTAGGTTGAAACCTTTTCTCTAAGGCGTGAGTAAGGTAATGCACCTTCTTGGTGAGTACATAGGTTTATTCACCTGATTGTAATCCATAACATTAAACATTCATGATTTAGATGCTTTTCTGTATAAAATTTACACTTCAATATAAATGTTTACCTAAAAAGACAACATCCAAGTAAGCAATAAAGAGCCTGAGTAAAAGTTGGCAGAGAGGTAGGGAAAGGAACTCACCAGGATGAAGTGGAAGAAATATAGTCCAGATTAGAGGCTCACATGCCTTAGTACAAGTGTCTAGAGAACCACAGCGATAGTGCCTATGACTAGGAACCTGAGGCAGGTTCGGTGGGATGCAGTAAAGCGTAGTCAATTTCATTTAAAATAAAGTTAGTAATTAAGGATGATTCTCCAAGATTGAGAACAGCATGGGAGCCCTGTTTTCCGCTTTTTCCTGCCTCTCTTTAAGCTTATAGTATTAGCCTTATTATCTAGCTTTTATAGATTTCTAACAAATCTCCAACAGACAAGAAAATGTATCAGCTCTGTGCAGGCCATCTCATTACCTGAGCTATGAATTCTGTAGGGGCAGGAACCATGACTCCTCCAATTTCAGAACTCACTGGTCCCCATCTCTGCACACACATGACAGATACCTCAGCAAGACATCAGATCTAGCCCCCTCCATTGACAGTATTTCCACCAGTAATCAACTTATGATACATATCTTTAATGAGAAGCCCAAACAGGCTATGATCCAGACACACCACAGTGAACAACAAATAGTTGCCTGTGATCTCTTATGACCTCAATCCTCTATCTAGGAGCAAGGAGGTAATCTGAATGCTGCTTGTGGACATACATAATTTCCCCATGGACTGAAGAATTTCAAAGCAGTCAGTGATCACCACTTACAACGTGATGGGGAAACTTTCTGGGCAGGGTGCGGGGGGAGTACCAAAGGATGATTTTCAGGGCTTACCGTGAACTGCAATATCTTTTGTGTCCTGAATAAGAGCATTCCCAGCAGCCACCTGAACAGTAATGGTGTTGGTTCCCTCTGCGAGGAAGGTAAAGGAGATGCTGCTGTCCAAAGTGATGAGCGGCTGCAAGAACCACAACACCCATTTAGTTCTTGGTGGGAGATCAGCCTTTCCTCAAATCTCAAAATGTCATAGATCTGCACAGGAGATTAGATACAGAGGAATCTTAACTTGAAAAACTGAAAACTTTATGCAGTTTCTGAAAACTGCAACTATTTCTCCAGAAACTAGGAAGAGTATTAATAAATTTGAACTATATTATAAAATCCTGGGAAATGAGGGAAAGACTGGACACTCTTGATTTTTCATAGTCTGTTCTTTCTTCAGGGGCAAAGTAGAAGCACCTTTTAATACCTATCTTGTTAGCTCGGGAACAGGAATCATTTCTCTTTTTCCCTCAATATCCAATGTCACTTATATTTTCATCCTGTATTACATTGGACTATAAGACCTCTCAAATAAGTGGCAACATTTTACTTACTTCTGTATCACCCACCCCAGGTGCACTGTCCCTTCATGTAACAGAAAATATGTGTAAGTTAGATGCATGAACACACTACTGACTTTTTGTTTTATTATACCTGTTTTCTATTACAAGACATTTTAAGTATTTTATTAGGTTGGGAAATATACAAGCATACATATCTGTATGATTAATCTTATTTTCCTTTGTTTACTTTCCTGATTTATCATAACAGATAGGGACTTGTCAAGGCAAAAGCAAAGGAATAATTGTATTTTTCTCTAAGAATTAGGATCTTGATAAAAGCAGATGCTTATTAGAGAGAGGAGAAGGCAGATCCTGATACTGAAAAGCCATTTTTCCATGGCCATCTTAAAGTCCAGTCCCTCTCAAGCCCTCTGTTATTTGCAAGCTAAGAAATAATAGTAGAAGACTGATCTAAGGCAAAAGATAAAGAGATACCACAAGCACAGATGAACAGGCTCCCTCTCTTCTTTGTGTGTAGACCACAGGATAAATAATGGTGTAACTTGTTGGCAGGTTCATAGAGATGCCCTTTAATTGGATAGGTATGGGTCAGCCCAAACAGCATATCCATGCATGGCTAAATGCATATGCTTACAGAGCCCTGCGGAGGCTCAAAGTTGCATCTTTCAGGTAGCTTTCCCCTCCGCAAGATTGAAATGCCTTTCTAGCTCACAATTTTGGACTGGGCCTCTGAAACAATAATTTGATCTCTTCTGCTTTAAAATTCTATAGCTCTATTTTATGACCAGGTTGATGGAGTTGGGAAGAATTAGAGATTTGCCCTGAGCTTCTGACACCCTTTCTTCTCTATTTGCTGAATAAAAGAAGGAAGGGAATTTAGAAAGAAAGTCTTTCCCTTAACTAAGGGCAAATCTCGGTATGCTGGCATGCTTTTCTACACTTATGTCTAAGTGATGGTACACACAATGATGCATCCTTCTGAATTAAACAAGGGGGTGAAAGTGGGTTTGTCCTCCACACCATGATGACTCCATGGCAGTTTAGAGTCCTGTTTTGAGAAGGAAGCTGAAGTTGTATTGAGCTCAGCACAGCAATGTCATCCATGGACCTTAAATGAAGGAATAATGTGTGACCACACTGTCGCCATTTCTAATATAACAAGAACAGTGACTTAAAATTTAGGGTCTGCTACTATTTTTAATGAATGACCCTGGGCAAAGTCTGTCCCCTTTCAGGACTTGCTCTTTATCTGTGAAATGAACAGCTTGGGTTAGAAAATCTGGGAGGACTCATTCAGCAGTTAGACTCTAAGGGATTAACAAATGGCTCTAGGCAAAGTTTCTAGTTCCCAATGGCCAGCATATTAGGTGTTCCATGTCCAAAGGCCTTCAGTACCTTAGAATTCTCTAGACACCTAGCAGAATGACTAAACTATGTTGTTTCATGATAATGTCAAATAATGTTGAGGATGCTGAGTAATCTAAAACTCTAATATGATTTTGGTAGGAATATAAAATGCTACAACCACTAAGAAAAACTTTAGCTTTATAAGAAACTGCAAGAACTTTTCCACAACAATTGTACCATTTTATATTTTATGATTTGGCCATAGCTCTACTGGGAATTTAGTCAAAAGAAAACACACATCCACAAACAACTTAAAATACAGTTCATAGCAACTTATCTATAATAGCTTAAAATTATAAACAGCTCAGGGATTCATCAATAGGAAAATAATTACATGCATCTTCACATCATAAAGAGAAAAAATAGATAACAACATACACATGTCAGTATGCACACATGCACACACACACACACACACACACACACACACACACAGAGGAATTCCTACACAATGAGAGGTGAAAGAAACCAACTCATATTGTATGATCATAGTTTTATAAGTTTTGAGAGCAGACATCTATTCTGTGATTGAAAAAAAAATAGAATAGTAGTTGGTTCTGGAGATTGGGTGAGGATTGACTAAGAAGGACCATGAAGAAACTTTCTGGGATGATGGTAATGTGATATATCTTGCCAGGGGTTTGGGTCATAAAGGTGAATGCCTTTGTTGGAATCAGTAAGTTCACATTGTAGATTTGTGCATTTCATCATTGATACATGGGAGAAAAAAATGACAAGAAATTGTGGACTATAGTTTTGTAAACTGAATCATTTAGCGCGCAGTACATAGATGTCTTAAATTTATTTTTGAATTGAATCAAAACAACCTAGATAGATCAAAGGATAGAAAGAACTGTGATAGAACCAGTGCAGTAAATGTTAATGGCAAACTTCAGTTAATGTGTATATGGATGTTCATTGAAAATATAAGTGAAAATTTTCTTAATAAAATATTAGGAGAAAAGTTTATAAAAGGGATGACCAATGTGCTTTTATTTTTCCTGATTCCTTGAATGACTGTTGTGGCTGTCACTATGTCACATTTTTGTCTGCTTTAGTTTGCTGCCTTCAGCTGGCTCTCATCTTGTCCCACCTCTCACCACCAGATCTTTTTCTTCCCTCACTAATTTTCTATTCAGGAAGATTTGCTACTTCCTTGTCATCTTCCTCAGCTCTCAGTGGGATGTGTGGCCCTCTTCCCTCTTCACTCATTCTTATTAACTCAAGACCCAGGTGGCTGTGCTGTGCTGGCCACAGCCTCTCTCCTGAGAGTAGCAGAATTCCTGTTCCAGCACATCTTATCTTCTCTCCATCTGGCTGGTTCCCTAGAAGATCCAGAGCTGAGTGAGGGAGCAGGGCTGCAGGATAAAGGGAATGCCATCTGAGGTGGGAGAGCACGTGCCACCCTGCCAGCCAGGCAGGGCACTGAGCCACAGCAAACAAACCTCACTGATTGGAAATGCTTGGTCTCTGGGTGGCAGGTCACAGACGTCTGTGCTAGGGAAATGGCAGAAGCTAATTTTGTTTTCCAAATTGCTTTTGTTTTTCATCAGCAGTTATGGCATCATGGCTGATTTCACCTTCCTTGCAAAGCTGCAACACTCAACAGGATCCTTGAGTTCTTCATTGGCCAGTGCTATCTGGTGCCCAATGCTAAATTAAATCAAGTATTTTAAGGTTCATTTACTCAAATCTATTAGGCAAGCAGACACATTTATTAAGCCAGACCTCTGTTAATCCCAGCAAATTGGACATTCAGAGCCCCACAAATCCATCAGGCGGCCAATTGACTTCTCTGCCTCTGCTTTGCCCAAGCTGCAGGGCCAACTCACAGTGAGGCCACTTAGAATAATAACACATGGCCTGCTTAGGCCGTGGGTTATGCCACTCCCCAAGAAGAATCTCACATGTATGACAGGTCACATACTTTCCAGCTGAGCCCAGCAAGAAATCAACAAAGCTCTGAGAAACATTTAGTTATGAGATTTCCACTTGACTAATGGAACTGGGAGCTGCAGGGAAACTCTTTGGATGCCAACTACACTGGTTTCCCAGACACAGTATGTCACATGAATGTGACACATTGTAAAATCTCTGCAGTTTAAAGTGGATACCTTCATGAAAGATGCTGTTCCCAAATTGGACATACCAGGCAATCACTATACTTGCCTTATTTAAGTCCTTCAATAGATTGTACAGTAATGAGTGCAAGTGTTTATCATATGAAATGGAAAGGTGGAATATATAATTGTGGATATACCATGTTTAGAATTATGCAAAAAACCTTAAATACACACAAAGACAAGAAATAAAGAAAACAGCATTTATAACTATGTTATGACTATGGGATTAATGTGAAAATTCATGGCTAAAACATTATTTTCTTCAAATATACATTCACACATACACACACTAAAATATATCCAAAACTCTGAGAGTATCTAACTGCCTAAAATATCATTGTCCGTCAATCTCATTCTATTTTTTATTTCTCTACACTAACTCTGAGGGTTGTTTTTCTCAGAACTGGTGTTTGAACTCAGGGCCTTGGGCTTGCTAGCCAAGTACTCCATCACTTAAGCCACGCCCCAAGCCCTTCTTGCTTTAGTAATTTTTTCAGATTGGGATTTTTATTTCTCTTGGAGACTGCCTCAGACCACCATCTTCCTACTGACCCCTCCCATGTAGCCAATTAACATGGGTGCACCACCACACCTGGCTTATTTGTTCAGATGTGGTCTTGCTAACTTTTTGCCCAGGTGGGCCTTGAACTGTGATCCTCCTGATCACCTCTTGAGTAGCTGGAATTTTATATGACAATATAAAATGTGTACTTTTAATACTCAAAGCCAAATATCCTATCATTTATCTGTCATTTTATTCCTGCAACTTCTAGCCAAATGAATTCTGTTTTGATTGAATCAGTGCACACAGAGCACAACCATTTCAAAAAACTTAGATCCCTTTCTTTCCTCTGCTTCCATTCCACTATACCTTCATGCCAGCTTATGATCAATTTTATATATGACTCACTCTGTGACCCACAAAACCTGTATCCATCACTCCCTAGGTTGTTTGACTTGGCCAACAATAATACATTCCTACTGCTTCCCCTTCATGGGTCTTTCCTTGAATGTTAACCACATATTATCAAACAGATTATGTCTCTTGAGGGCAACAAATGGAATTCACACTGCTTTGTATTCCTTACAACACCTAGTACAAAACATGGCTCCTTAAAAAGATCCACAGAGAACCTGATGCAATTTCACACCCCCTGCTGATAGATTTGTAGGTATGTAAGCCAACAGTTGGATTTCAGGAATGCTTGTTCTTTTCTATTTTGTACATGATAAAAAATTACTGCTTGTGTTCATCTTCCCATCTCATCTGGAATGTTCTATCTTTAAAGTAGGGATAATTTGTACAGTACCATGACAAGGGGTGGTTATAAAGAGAGGGGTCAGTTCTTTCTTACCCAAAGATTGATATAATCAACTACCTGGATTAACCTCTCTACTTCATCCAGTGTCTCTCTGTTTCTGTCTCTATCTCACACACACAAACACAGTTCAGTGGTAGTCAGAGGGAGCTAAATAATTCTAATGCTACAGAAGTGGTCATGACACACAAAGGTATTCATTCTTTTCAGTCAAATATTGTGTTCATTGGATCAATCATTACACTTAGTGGCCATCTTTGTGTGTTTCTGGCATGATGCTAGCAAAATGTACTAAAAATGTAGTCCTATATCTATTGAGCAAATAGCCACTCTGTAGACATGAATGTAATCAGTAGAATCAAGTCAGGATTGTCGCCTGTTGTAGATGTTATTAGTGCAAATGTTATTTCCAAATGCTTTGATGCACTCCACGTGATTCGTGTAACATTCTTTACTAACCTCAGAGTAGCGATTAATTACTGTAACTACTATCATTACCCAGACATTACAATTATAAAACTGAGACTCAAAGAAATTGAATGGTTTGACTAAAGGCATAGAGCAAAGAAGAATCCATCTGGATCTCAACCTAGGATTGTGTTCTTCTGAAACCACTTTATTTTACTGCCTCATGTATTTTCATTCTCTCTTGTTTCTCTGAGAACAAAAACTGACTGGTAAGACCCTCATCCTGGGTACTTGTGTAGAATCCTAGCTATCCAGGAGGCAGACGATCAGGATGACTGTGGTTTCACAAGACCCGTGACCACGCAAAAAACACGCAACGGAGGTGGTTAAAGTTGTAGAGTTGCTACCTAGCAAGCATGAACTCCTGGGTCAAACCCCAAGTTATCACCAAACGCCCTCCCTCCTCCAGAAAAAAAAAAACTATAATGTCAATATCAATTGGAATAATTCACCCTCTCTAATATGTCATAATGTGTATGGGAGCTTTCAATAATAACTGAATGATGTCCATTTGTATTTAAAGTAGTTACTTGCTTTTAAACAAAAGGACACAGAGGGGTGAGACATCAATCAATGATTTAAGTTAACAAGATAATTAGTAGGAAAATAAAAAGCAGACTCCTCAATCACTGTGACAATTTGTTTGTTTTTTAATCATAGATAAATCAAATGTTATTATACTCTTATAACATCATCAAGGTCTTAAAATCAGTACCAATAAAATAAAGTGTACAGTAGAGAAAATTTTTACTGACCATTCTTATGGATGTGAGCAAAATCTTCTGTTGAAAATAGCCAAGACTGGCCCTTTGCCCAGAAGTAGTTTCCTAGTAAAATATCACAGATAAAACGAACACTAACAGAAAGAATCCCGTATTTGGAAAGCACCCACATCACAGAGAAATAAAACTCTCCCACAAATAATTTAATCTTTATTCTTTACTATGCATGTATCTGTTTTTTTTATTTAAAAGATGGTAGGTCTAGCAACCCCTAGGGATAAAAACTGCCAGGGTATACTTAACATATTATTTTTATTTTTATTTTTATTTTTTTTTTTTTTTTTATTTTATTATTTATTTTTTTTTTTTTATTTTTTTTTTTTTAATTTTTTTTTATTTTTTTTTTATTTTTTTTTTTTTTAATTTTTTTATTTTTTTTTTTTATTTTTTCCTAGGGCAGAGGGAGGTACATGGTATGGGAAATAGGGGCCCGGTTTGAGGCCTAGCTCTGCAGATTAACCAAGTGTTTTGATCAATGGGATGTCTGAACACACTGGGGCAGCCTTCTTCTCTATATTCAATACAATATTTTACTTACTAACTATTGTCCTGGTGAATAATAACCCAGAAATCCAAAGTCACTGTCACCAATATAAGAAATTAATATAAAGCATGAGGCAAGAAATAATGCAAACAGGGGCTCATGGGTCCGGGATGTTGCTCTTTCACACGTCAACCTAATTATCAGTTTTGGGTGATATGATAAAAAACAGACATTTGTTGTGGGCATGGTGTGTGCCATATCAGTGTGTATTACACTTAGCTTCAACAACACAAAAAGAAACCGGCTTTGTTTGCTTACAACATGTGAAAGTGAAGGGTATGTTACACAATGGATCACATCTACACCCAGATGGCAATTGCTCTGGAACCCTAAAACGTGACCCTAAACCTACCTTACATGCTGTCCTCTGCCGATGGAGATAAGGAGGAGGTATCTCTTACTCTCTGTTCTAGGGTGAGGACATTGTAAACTTCTCTTTGGGTTATTATTAACCATAACTATATTTATTCTCCCTCTTGATCCCAACATTTCCAAATTGCTGAGGCAGATTTTTTTAAGATTTTCTTTTTAATTTAAACTATCTCAGGATAAGCAATGCAACAAGAACATGAGTTTTTCATGGCAAACATAAAACTGAGATCCAAAAACTCCCAGGAGAGAGATCTAGTCAGTCACAGGGAGGCCCTCACAACTTTATGTACCTTATAACCAGGAGCTGACCAGGTTCTCCCATAAAATATTGAGAAAATTGTCCTTATGCTTCTTGGCAGGGAGGAAGAATCAAACCACTTTAAAATACCATCAGTGCTTTGTGGCCTTTTTTAAAAAGTCTTACCCTCAGAAGAAACTAGTACCTTGGAGCTTAACATGTGGTGTTATCCAACTCCAGCCCACCTTAGCCATGCTATTCCATCAGGGTAAGGGACCTGGAAACATCTGTGAAGTACACAGGGATATAGGTTCACTAAGACTGAGACAAAATCATATTGGCTACAGAATGCTTTTCCTTCTCCTGTACCTTACTACCACATCATTATTAAATACTCCCTTTTATCCAGTATATCACACGGTAAAGGCATGCTAAGAGGCAGACACATGAGTGAGGAGACAAAGTAAGTATCCGAGAAAGCCATGGCAGATATGTTGAAATGATCAGACTAGGAATTTAAAGCAAATATACTCAATGTGCTAGGATCTAGTTTATTTAAGTAGGCAGCATGCTAGAACATAAGTAGATGATGAAAGTCCTAAGAAATAAGCAAAAAGAAATGATCGAAAGCACTGTAACAGAAATGAAGGATTTGGGGAAAAGGAGGGAGGGATGAATTGGTGGAATGCTGAGGAATTACAGGGCAGTGAAACTTGTTTCATAGTATAATGGTAGAGTAAATGTCATTATACATTTGTTCAAACCTATAGAGTGTGCAACACTAAGAGTCAGTCCTCAGGTAAACTGCATTCTGGGTGATGTGTGACTGTAAATTCATCAGTTACAACAAATGCATTCTTCCCATAGTGATGTCGATAATGAAGGAATCTCAACATTTTGGGGGCAGGTGATATATGAGAAATCTCTGTACCTTCCTCTCAATTTTGCTGTGAATGATAAACTACTCTAAGAAAAGATGAGTTGAGGGCTGAGCATGGTGGTTCATGTCTGTAATCCCAGCTACTTGAGTGGCAGAAATTGGGAGGATTGTGGTTCAAGACCAGCCCAGGCAAAAAGTTAGGGAGGCCCAATCCCAACCAACAATCTGTGCATGGTGTTATATAACCTGTACTCTTAGCTGTATGGGAGGCAAAGACAAGGGGTGGGGAATAGGAGATTTTATCCTAAAATAAATAAGGCAAAAATGGCTGGGGGTGTGGTTCAAGTGACAGAAAGTCTGCTGAGCAAGCACAAGGTCCCAAATTCAAACCCCAATACTGCCAAAAACAGTTAAGTTTACAACAACACAAAAAGATAGCAATAAAGAAGAACATTAATTAAATAGAGGAGCCCTCGACCTAACTGCTCTCAGATTCTATCATACAATTATGGTCACTCTTCAAACAGACATCACCATCACCAGGGACTGGGGGAATCCTATCTGGAAAGCCCAGCATTTGCCAGTTCAGCTTCTTACTCTGAGATGGGGCAACCTCAGTAAGTCAGCTAAGACCTGTAGGGTTTGCAAAGCATACAGTAGGTGCTGGTGAGGGTTGTTTACATGTGTTATCTCACTTAACTTCCACAACCTGCATCTAGAAATCTAATTCATATCGACAGATTCCATTCCTGAATCTCAAAGTTGTCAAGTAACTTCCTTGCTATTATACAACTAGTGAGTGCAAAGGCCAAGATTAAAACAAAAGGGAGGGCTGGACAAGGGTGACTCAAGAGGTAGAGAGGCTGCCTAGCAAGTACAAGACCCTAAGTTCAAACCCCAGTAAAACAGGAAAGAAAAGAAAAAGAAACAGGAGCACATGAAATTTTAGAAACGTTGATTAGAGGAACAAGAACATGCAGGATTTCACAGTGTCTTAGAATCGCTTAAATTTTCCCTATTAAAGTGATGGACTTGGCATGGGAGGTTAGTTTTATTCAACTCTGGGTTTTTAGTGTTATCCACCACCTCTTATTTCTGCTTCCCTGCTGCTCCCAAGACAGATCTAGAAGCTGGAGCATAGCCGCTGTCAACATATATCAGACTTGAAACTGATCAGAAATGGCAAACCTTTGTGCTGTTGCCAAACCACCAGAAGTAGGTGAGGGTCCCCAGCTGACTGGGCCATACAACTGCACTGATGTTGACTTCCTTATTTCTTATGGCGACGAATGGAACTCGGAGGTGAACATGTTCCACGGGACCTAAAAACAGGAAAAGAAGTGTCAGTCTTTATATTCCCAGAAAAAAAAAAAAAAAACTGGCAAAATTTATCGCACTTAAATTCTTAATCCTGATTCCCCTCCCTGTAATAAAGCAATGATTATCCACTCACAAATGCTGGAAAGTGTGTTTGAAATCTGATTTGAGTTGCCAGGTATAATAGGCAACTCAAATCAGATTTCAGATTGCTTGAGTGGTATTTCAGCTTAATTTACATCTGAGAAGCTCGCCCATGAATGCTTCTGAACTTCCAAGTCAAGGACAAAACTAAACACTTAGATATTAAATAGGAAGATAGACAGCAGTCTGTTTGGGTTCTGAAGATTAGCCTGTTTTGTGATTTGGAGCCAAGGCATTGTATGGAAGGCTCTTCCATTATCCTAAATCGCTAATTGGTTTCCATCCTCTTCCACAATTGGCCATTGTGCTTCATCATCTGTAGGACACAGTAGGTGTCACTCAGAAGCTGGTAAGGCCATTTTACAAAGAGGGAAAAGTATATCACCTCAAATTGGAACAAAAACAAATTCCAGGTTCCCAAGTAATTAAAAAGGTTGATTCTCTTTTTTTCTCAGAAAACTGGGTTTGACCAGCATGGAACTGTTCACTAGCAACATGTCAGCGCACACACTCTAGGCAGAAGTGAAGATGTTAATTTCACTTAGCTCCAAAATAAAATGAGAAAATGGAAATGGGATGAAAATCATTAATAGATCAGTGTGGCATTTGGCAGGTAGAAAGGTTATTTTTTCAACTCTGCAGATCTTTCTTGTCCTGTGATTTGAGGAAACATGTATGAACCCAGAGTACACTATGTTAAGTAAAATAAACCATGCACAGAATAATGAATGCCACATTTCGTCACTAGTGTGGAATCCAAAGAAGTTTACCTCATAGAAGGTGGTTACTAGAGGATGGCAGAGGTGGGTGGATTAGATGTTGGTCAAAGGATATGAGGCTTCAGGAAGAGAGGAAGAATAAATTCAAGAGATTTATTGTAGTGTGGTGATTATGGGCAATAATATTCTGTTGCATTTTGAAAATCACTAAGAGTAGATTTAAAGTATTCTCACAATAAAAAAAAGAAGTATGAGAGGCTAATGGCCCCATCAAGCCATTCCATAATGAATATATTTCAAAACATCACATTGTACACAATAAATGTACATAATTTTTATCAGTTAAAAAATTAATGAAGGAAAAATTTTAAATAACCTATTTATATACATAGATACATAGCCTGGAAATGCTTTCTGCCTAGAGCTCTTTGCCCTGACTCAGACATATGGCATCTCAAGATTTCTTCCAGCAAATAATGTCAACCTTGTCATTTCATAATACACATTTGGCTGAGGGTTTAATTATTTTAAATGAGCATATCTGTATTATTTTTGTATGGTTTGCTTGATGTCAGTAAAAGAACACAAAGTGCGAGAAAATATTAGCTAAATCCCTTGCTTTATTTACTTATTTTTAGGAATTTACCAGATTAATTTCTCTTTATTATTTGTGTTTTATTGATCAAAAAGGAAGAGTGGAGGCTGTGGGAAGGGGTCCCTGGCTTGTCCATAGTCCAAAAGGGAGATGAGAAGCCTAATTTTTTACATTAATTCCAGGCCTGGGTTCAGATCTCCAATTCTTTCCCTCCTGGGAAAGAGACTTCTTTTGCCCATGAGATCATTGCTTCATTTCTCACTGCTGTCCTGCAAAAGGTATGATGCCCCTTCTCTAGCTGCCTCATGAGATCCCCAGGCTTCTCCATAGATCACCAATGTAGCACAATACCTTGTGACCCTGGAAATTATTTTCTGTTCTCTGTCCCTTGGGGGACTTTACTCAGCCAGGGCTGAAATTGTAGGGTACTCTGACACCCAAGATCATAAAAGGACCTCTTTCTCCCTATCTTATGCCAGATATAAAAGAAATGGAAATTCTATGAACTGACCACCATGGTCACATTTATTCTAGCTTCAGGTCAAGTGTGTTTGATTAAAAATAATCATAAGAAACAATACCATGCTTCAGCTTTTTAGGACAAAGATCCTGAGTCAGATTCGGACTTCAGTGAAGAAACAAGCCACGGAAAAGTGAAAAGAGAAGAGAGCTGGAGAGAATACAGCAAACTCCTAAAATCTTCCTTGTCAAATAGTGCTCCTTTTGATAAAAGTTCAATAATCTGTGTGAGATTGGTTATTATGGGCAGCTAACAACTACTTTTGTTAGCTAATGGCCCAAGGTGAGGCCAAGAGCAGTTTCCACTATAATAACTGTCTGGTAAATGCAGCCATGATTGATTTGGAGGGAATTATGAGCACGATAAAAGTTTCAAGGAACATTTCCTCCTTCATGCACATAACCCACAGTATAAACCTGTTCCTTGCTGTTGTGTTTTTTGCACTTAAGATACGTTGGTCTTCACACCTGCAGATAAGGCCCGCTCTTGGCAGAATCAGGAACATGGGTAGGACAAGTCCTGTGGAGTGTAAAGTTCTTTTTCTTTGCCTTCATTTCTAATTGCAGCAGAAGTGTCAGGCAGAAAGTTAATAGGGAAAGTACTAGTAATTACTATAATAACAGGTAACATTCCTCATGGGCCAGGCTGGGTATGAAGCAGCATTCTGCACTCTATGCAGTAAAATGTTAATATGGATCTGAAATTGCTGTCCATTCAAAGGTGTGTATGCCGAGCTGGCTCTTGGCTGGTGTCTGAGAACTTGGTTCTGAGAGTGTTCCTGATCAGTAGTTAACTAGAAAGAGTGGTTCACTTTGTCTAACTGCTCTCACAAACACTGTAACTTGTACTGACTACCTGCTTTGTGGAAGTTTGGAGCTTGGTATATGCCAGACAGAGGCATATACCAATAAAAACTATGGGCACTGGGTCTCTAATGAGATTCTCTGGTAAAGAGCCATTATGTTGTCACCACTCATTGCTAGAGGAATTGGCTTGTCCTGTGTGACTCCACAGAAAAAGCATCTGTGGAAGCCTGAACCTGGTTTTTTAATTTTCTCTGGGCTTTGCCCTGGAGCCTTTTTGTTTGGCTGATTTTGCTTTATATCCTTTCATTGGAATAAACCATTGCCAGGGATGGAGCTATATGCTGAGTTCTATGAGTCCTTCTAGTTAATCACCAGACCTAGGAGTGGTCTTAAGAGACTCCAATGCATGCATGCATACACACCCCTTCCACCCCCACACGCTATTCAATTTGATTCCCACAGTCTCCTTATAAGCTCATATTAAAGACAAGGAAGCAAGGGTCTGTAAGTCTATAAAAACTAAGATAATTGACCAATATTAGACATTTATCAAAAGGATATAATCAGAATTCAAACAAAGTTTTCTTTTCTCTAAAGTCTGGCTAACTGAATACCTTGCACCCAACTCACTTGGGTTTCTGACCTGGTGCTTTCAGCACAGGATTACTGTACTTACTGTGTGGAGGTCATCACCATTTTGCCTACTTAGGGCCCACTTTTGCAGCCCTTCCTCTTCCCCAGAAGAATGTAAATCCTGCAAGGGCAGGGCTGTATCTGTATTGCTAAGTCCCAATTGCCCAACAGAGTGCCTTGCACATATTAAGAACCCAATAAATTCTAGCTGAATAAATTAATAAATGAGTGGATGTTTTATTTGGATTTCATTTTTATTGTTACAAGAGTCCTCTGAGGCAAAGCAACACTCAGAATTAAGCCATTTTAAAATTGGAGTTTCAAAACCAGGCAAGAATTTATCTCAAGGTTACTTAGAATGGCATTTTTAGGGGCATAATTGATCTATAATTCAGATTTCCTCCCTCGTGTTTCTGCTATCTCTATTGGTTTCCTGTACCAGGGGACTAGGTAGCTTACTACTTACCAGGGAACTCTTAGGTGTGGGTTGTTTATATAATGGAATTTATACCATCACTGAGTTGTTAATAAAAAGGGAGCTTCATGTATTTAGTTAACCTCTTTCAAAATGTGTCATTTTCACCATAAGTGACATATTACTGGAAAACCATGTGGGCATACAGTAGACCCTGCTTCTCCAGTGTCACTTTCTACAGTTTCAGTTACCCATAGTCAAACACAATCTGAAATTATTAAATAGAAAATTCCAGAAATAAATAATTCATAAGTTTTTAATTGCACACCATTTTGAAAAGCATGACAAAAATCACATGTTATTCCTCTCTGTCCCTCCCAGGACATTAATCATCCTTTTCTCTAGTATATCCATGATGGATATGCTACCAGCTCAATAGTATGAGAAAACACATGGTGTATAAAGGGTTTGGTGCTGTCTGTAGTTTTAGATATCCACTGGATCTTGGAACAAAAAGACCTGAAGTCCATGAGTATTAATGATAAAGGTGTGGGAAACTATTGCAAGCCCCATAGCAATGTTTCTTTAACCTATCATCTTGAAATAACAGTATTCATGTTCCAGTTTACATGAGTCAAGTCCCAGGATAGGTAATACATAAAATGCATCCAACACAAACAAAATAGTTTTGAACTTCAGCTGTTGTTTTGTTTCTACCAAGCATCAGCCAATAGCAATAAAGTAGATTTTACTACAACAAAAAATTTAGAGTTCTTAGAAATGTTTACTGCATAATGAAATTGAAATAATATTGGGTGTAAAATTCAGGTTTTTACATGTTCAATTCTTCTTTAAAATAATTTAAACATGTATTTCTGTAATTCATCTTTGGCTCTTTCAACAGAGATAACAGTTTAGTTTGATTTGTGCACTATTCACTCATAATTGCTTGAAAATGAACCTAAGACCATCAACCAGAATTCCACTTCTTATATTTTCAGGATTCTCAAAAGTAAAGGGAAGGGATATTTACCTGAATGTGTGTCAGAGCAGATGATGTTGGAAAGGAGGATCTGTTATCAATGCGTTATCCAAACTTTCAAAGTACTGGATCTACTTCAGTATCATGAAACTCTAATAAATCATAGGTGAGTATACAACTCAGTCTTTTGATTTGGGTCATTGCAGTAGTCACACTCAACCTAACCTCAGCTCTGAATTCCAGGAAGTCTGGACAGAGGGAGGTGCCAACTGGGAGCAAAGGGAGAAAGGGATGCTCATGCTACTTACAAACCACATGTAGAAAGAGGACCGCTGTGTCTGAGCCAAGGTTGTTCTCTGCATAGGCTGTCACCTGGAAGATCCCCGCACTCTTATACACATGCTTGATGCCATCCTCGATAGGGCTGAAGTTAGCGTAGGACACGGCAATCCCATCCCCAAAGTCAAGTTGGATGTTTGTCCTTTGGAGATCACCCTGCAAGGGGATAGCAGTTGGCCTGCGCCCATTCACATGGTCCTGCATGATTTCTATCTGGTGCTTCCTTCTGTGGATTCAGTATCACCCTACTTCCTAGGGACAGAAACACCCCAGCAAAATCACCAGATTCCCATCTACTACCCACCAGGCATTATGAGCAGGTACCTATTGTCCCTGTATGTCTAAGCACAGGACAGTCGGAGTTGGTGTGAAGTGAGTAGGGTTAAGCATCTCTGAAGTTAAGAATTGGGTGACCAAGGACTTCCCCTCACAATATGGTTTAATTCTTCTGTGTCATTATTATCATTGTAATGATACTAGCACTTGCAGAGTTTCATATCAGTGCCAAATAATTAATCTCCCCACAACTCTGTCTTTTTTGAGAGTATTATTGTCTCTGTCTTTAAAATGGGGACAAAAATAAGTTGTTAGACCAAAGTCACATAGCTAGTAGCAGAAGGCAGAAGACCCAAGTTTTCAACCTGGACAGTGTAGTTTCAATACTAATGCTCTCAATGACCATGATATATATATATATATTTTTTTTTTTTTTTTTTGGTACTGGGGTTTGAACTTAGGGCCTACATCTTAAGTTGTTCCATAAGATTTATTAAAGATAGGGTTTTGCTAACTATTTGCCCGGGCTGGCTTCAAACCATGATTCTTCTGATCTGCCTCCTGAGTAGCTAGGATCACAGGCGTGAGCCACCTGTGCCTGGCTTACCATGCTATAATTTTAATTGTCCCTACTTCTGAGTATTTATTATCACATTCCAAAGGCAATGCTAATCACTAAACACATATGATGCATCCTCACAATAACAATATGACATAGGATGATTGTTCCCATCCTAAAAGTGATTATTGCATATTATCTAAAATTATACTCTGTTTTCTTGTTCTTGGACTTCCTGAAACCTGCCTCAACCCCCTCTTCCCCAAAGCCTCTTTTGAGAGTCCCAGCTCACAGATCTCTCTGCCTCTTGGAAGGGCAAGAGCCCCTTGGGTGCTGCCTGCCTGGTAATGTGAGGTCAATGATTCAGTGCATGGCACTGGTGGTGAGTACATGGCATCATCCCAAGTTGGCACTTGGCTTCTTCAGTGCTGATTTGAACTCCATTCTTCCTGTCCCCCCCAGTTATACTGGATCAACACTTTGGATCAATGCAATGAACTTGACGCCAAAACAAAGATTCTGGGTGATAAAGAATAGGAAATCTCTGCTTATATACAAAAAAGGATGATGGAATAATGAGAGAAATGCATTTTGGAATTACAAGTCAATCCTTCTGCCCAGGGATTGTGCACTGGTCACAGTTTCACTTTCCATGTCTCCCCCACAGCAGCCCAGATGTGTAAGAAATACCGATAGGTGCTCTCTTGGACCCTCAAACAATGTCAACTACCCTTGAGTTTATAAATATAAATTAAAGTGGAAATGAGCTTGAGGCAATTCAAATTGATAAGATCGTGGCTCTTCATAACCATTCAAGAAAAGTTTTTTATATCTCTGGCCCTGAAGACTCCCTGGTGGAAATATGATAATGACTACCTCAGAATCTTAAAGTCCTTTAATTCAAGTGCCCAGTGTGAGTGAGGGCAGAGGAATCTGTCAACCCAGGATAAGGAACCTGCCACTTCCTGTCCTGTCTGGTATAGTCTTGACTTTAAAGATTCTAAAGTGCTCATACTTGTGAGAAAAACCTCCTGGCCTGCTTTGCTCTGTTTCCAAGATCTCAAGAGCATAGAGCAATTTGCATATAAATTTAGAGGCCTTTGTCAATCAGGCAAGTCTTCCAGCTCAGCAGTGCAGCAAAGAGTCCCTGAAAAGTCCCTGGTTTGGGCAGAAGAGAAACAGCTCATATAGGGAGAAGAAGCAAACAACAGAGCTACTTCCACATTGGAATGGCTGCATGCAGTTGAATTTTACTGCCCAGACTGCAAAAGACACTAAAAAAATGAACTAATGCAGCAGGCAGCTGGCATTGCAACTAATACAGTGTTCTTTACAAAGACAGCTTAAAGCATCCCAATTCTCTTTCCCCGTCACTTTCAAGAGCCTTTAAAAGCATTGTAGGGGTTTCTAATCAGTGAGACTAGTGGGTAGAATACAGAAAAAAATGCAACAGAAGTAATAAGAGTTTCCTTTTGCTACCAGTTTATAAGTTACAGTCTTACAGTAATAAACATTTCCTAAACAGGCCCTGAAGGGGAACCCTGAAGACCACATTCAGATTTGTATGCCTCAGAGACAAGTGGGCCCCCACTCCAGATTGGGTCTTTATTGTGAATGAAGGATGAAGAGTCTGACGCTACATATCCCAAGCATTTTTCACTCCTGTCTGTTTTCTGCCCAATGGTCACTGCTTATCACCTTTAGCATTAGTACAGTGGCCCATGGGAATGCTGCACCTTTGTTTTAATTCCTTTAGGGAAACCAGGAATGGCCAGCATGGGAGTTCTGAACTCAAGAGAGCCAGGTAAACACCTACCTCCTCCATGAGGATGATGAAGGTCGCATTGTGCCCCTGCTCTGCCACCAGGCGTCCATCAGTCGTCACCACATGGAGGCCTCGAGGGGCTTTTCCAGGGCACAACTGGGACTTGGCAGAGTACTTGTCCCTTAGTCCATCTGTGCAATTGTTGGACACAATCCTCCGGTACCTAAAAAGAAATGACAGATGATAGCGGTGTGGTTGTGTGTGTGTGTGTATGTGTTAGTAACAGAGTGCAAGAGAACAAAGGCAAAAGAGATACTTCTCACAGCTGCCCCTGAAAACCCTGCAAAAAACCAGTCATTTACAAAGATAAACAAATGCTGACCAACTGCTATCCTTCCATTTCAGGAAGAGTACCTCCTTAAACATTATTATTGATCCTACCTGGTGAGCCAGGGATCAGATCAGTGTCTAAACCAGGAAGAAAAATCAATGTCTGACTCACACACATAGAGGAGGAGGCAGACAACTGAACTAGGGAAGCAGGAAAAGCAAGCGCACCTCTGACAGGGAGGACCCTGTTCTATTTCCCCAAGGCTACCTCCAGCTTTCTTCATACCAGAAAGCAACTAGCACATCAGACTTATAGCTCTTGTTAATCAGAAAGCTTCTGCCTGTCTTCTCTCCATCTCTAGGATATTATTCCTTCTCCTAATACCTAATAGCCCTTACTCTGGAGCCACTGGGCTATTTTATAGTACATTTTCTCTCTTTGCTAATATTTCATTTTCTTCTCAACAGAAATGCTAAATTAGAGGCACAGGATTGCTGGGAAAACCTCCCTACAAAGCACCATAACAGCATCATGTGTACTGATACCATGTCACTCTCCTTGACCACTCACCCAAAAGCGTGCCTACAGACCCAACCGGCAATATGGACTATTTCCAGACACATCACAATCTGTAAGTCTTCACTAAAACCAATATTTTGATTAAACCACTACCACCACTACCACTGCTGCCACCACCACCATCATTACCATCACATCTTATCTTCTTTCACCTTCCATGCTAGGAATAATCAATCATTGACAGTTAATCCATCCATGTTCCTTTTTCTAGTGTCCTTAAGAAAAGAGAAACTGAAATTCTTCTGGAGTGATATTTGTCCTCCATGATACCTACTTATACCCAAAGTCCTCTGTTGTTGAACCACTTACCTTCCACCTCCACTCAAAGATCTCAGGGGAATATAAACAGAATGCTGTGGGTAGTTATCTCAGATGAAGTTACAGCACATCCTCTTGTTGATTGAGATACATCTTTTTTTATTAGGATATATTCATTATGGGGGGGATTCAAAGTGACAATTCCAATCAGACTTATATTGTACATTATTTACATTTCCCCCATTGTCTTTTCCCCAGGCCCCCCTCCATCCCACCCAAAGCAATTGCAAGAGGTATTTTTCAGTTCTGTTTTATATAAGTATATGAAGTCCATCAATCATATACTGTCACCTTAATCTCCTTCCTTCACCCTCGCCCCTCCCACTAGTACTGAACTGTTGTCTGGAGCTATGCTGCCCAATATGGTAGCTGCTTTCCACATGTGGCTATTGAGTACTTAAAATGTGCTAATTTGATATGTCGAAATGATAATTTTTATTATGTTAAATAAAATATATTTAAATTAATTTTACCTTTTAGAAGATTTTAAATGTGGCTACTAGAAAATCTAAAATCATATATGTGACTCATATTATAGTTATTTTGGTCTGCACTGGTCAAATTAATAACAATTTTCTTATCAATTCATACTTTCTTGCTGATCTTTACTCACAAAATATTTAGGTTTATTCATGATAGATATGTAAGTGATATGTCCTAACACAAACTGTGTCTTCCTCTTTTCCTTTAATTGGCCATCAATTTAAGCTGATAAGTGATTTGTAATATAAGCCAACGCTTGAGAAACCTGGAGGTATTTGTAAATAACTAGAGTAAATCCCTTAGGGAAAAAGTGAATAGGCTTTTCTTTTTATCTTTCTGATTTATTCTGTTAGCTATAGGATGTTTTACTATACCAAACTGATTAAAATTGGGTCCACTTATAAATGCCACATGATTACATGAGATGTGCCAGTGTAATTCTTTTCCAGTTATATCAAAGAGATGCTCTGACTGGGAATCAGGTTGCCCAGATGATCCACTGTAACCATTACATTCTCCTTCTTCAAACTTCCGAGCACTTTTTTCTCTAATAGCACATCTCCTTAAATTCAAGATTCTAGATTTGTAGTTTGAATGTCCTAAGGCCTACAATAACATTGCATCACAGTTTCTAAAATCCTCAGCCTTGACCCTGGAAATAAGCCATCCTAGAACCAAATATTTAGCTAAAAGTTACATGTTTTTCAAAGCAAATTAGACTACTCGATATACCTTCTTCATCAGGTTTATGTTGCTTTCTTAGTTGGGTAGGTAGTACCTACCACTATATTACATCCAAGTAAGGTAAAAGTGAAAGGAGAGTAAATTGGTTTGAGATGGCAGCCGATCCACTCAAAGAGGTGAGACATGTCTAGAACACCTTAGACCCTTGCAACTCATAGAGTGATCTGGAGAACAACAATACCCACATCATGTGGGAGATTATTAAAAATGAAGGCTTTCAACCTCACCCCACATCTCCCAAATCAGAAGCTGCATTTTAGCAAGGTTCTTAGACGCTACAATGCACAAGCTCATTAGAATTTGAGAAGTGCTTAGTCTGCCCAATCAATGCAATGTATCTCCTCTGAGTCACAGAGGCAGCAAAGGAAAAGGCAAGACAGAAAGCCTCCAGGAAAACCTTTCCCAAGAACCCGAGAGGCAACTAATAAGCTAACAAAGAAAGATAGACCAGGAACTAGAGAAAAGGTTAGATCAAAAAGAATTAACCTAGAAGGTAACACACACACACAGGAAATCAATGTGAGTCAATGCCCTGTATACCTATCCTTATCTCAACCAGCAAAAACCCTTGTTCCTTCCTATTATTGCTTACACTCTCTCTACAACAAAATTAGAAATAAGGGCAAAATAGTTTCTGCTGGGTATTGAGGGGGTGTGGGGGAGAGGGAGGGGGCGGAGTGGGTGGTAAGGGAGGGGGTGGGGGCAGGGGGGAGAAATGACCCAAGCCTTGTATGCACATATGAATAAAAAAAAAAAAAACAAAGAAAGATATACACATACAATTAGAGAATTATCCCAAGTGTGCCTTGACCTCAGTATTCCAGGAGTTCCTAGGAAAAGACTTACATTTTTATTTGAAGTTTTGGTATCAGTGGATGAGAACTTCCATTCATCTCTTACTAGAGAGCACTCTAATGTCTGCATTACCACTTGCATAAATTTCCTTCACTTGAGCCCCTCCAAATAAGGTAGCATTCCTTTCCAGAAGAGAAGTTTTAAGCAAACAACTAGCATTTCCCACAGGTAAATGGCAAAAGGTATTGGAAATCAGAAATCTCTTCTGACGCTTCTCAAAATACTCTCAAGTAAATGTGATCCCTCAATTTCCCTCTGAAATAACCTGGCACAAAGAAATTATCTACATCCTTCTTCTTCAGCACCAATGCATTCCCTTTGACTTTACCACAGGGAAATGAGAAAACAGTAAGTTGAATTTCTCCAGGTGTTTTACTTACCCAGTGCTGTTGAGGTAGCTTTGACCAAGGCTGCAGTCCTTTGAAGGGGATGATGGATTGTACCAGAAAGCTGGAACACACTGGCTCTCCCCATGTCTTTCATAGCCATAGTCACTGTCAAGAAAAGTAATATTGCACAATGTTGTATATGTACAAATGCTAAAATATCCAGACACACATAAACATATGAATGTTCTATGACTGTCCAGAAAGTCTAAACACATTGTTTTAACTAACTCTAGTGAGGACAAATACTCATATTTTGAAAGTAGTATGAATTTAGATTTAGAAACTCTCCAGTTTAGAGAGACAAACATAGTGGATTATCACTACTTATCACTGAAAAGGTATGGATTCAAATAATGTGACAGGTACATTAAATGAGGGTAGGAGGGGGGACACTGGAAATTTAAAACAATATTTTGGGTCCCAGTAGAATTAATAAAATATGTTGATGACAACTAAGAAGATGACTTTAAAGGTCAAGATACATTACAATGTTACAGTTCAATACATGTCCTTCCAAAATCGATGTCATAGATTTGATCTTCATTTTCCTATAAATTCTTCCCTCTCAAACACAAATATACATGTACATTCATGTATGTACAGTCACTCGAAGCTTTTCCTGATTAGCTAGAATGAGGCCCATAATTCCCTAAAAATAAAATTAAAATGTATCTCTTTTCCATGTTTCTGTAAAATTCCAGCCATAATAAAATGAAGAAAGTCTGGACTGACTCTCTTCTCTTCTCCCATGTTCAAAATGACAAAGTAACAGACCAGTGCAGGAGGGGAAGCCTTTCATCTGAAGAGTGTTTCCCTGGTATATAAATGTCAAAGTATAAGAAGAGTAATGAAATTGGTAAAAGGGGTTATTGGTCTCATAACCAGCTGGAACTCATTGTGGGTGGCTTTTGGCCATGTTTACATGTTTTCCAAGGGTTTCCTGAAAGCCACTGACAGGTCAACATAATCTGAACATTTTAATATTAACACACTGAGAGTTAAGGAAATATATGTTGCAAGGGACCTCACTCTCTCTGGATCCACCCCTGCTTTCTTTTTCTACTTCCATATTCCTTGAGTTATGATTTTGTGGAAGTCCAATAAAAACACAGGCAAGTTATCTGTGTGTCTGTTTATATAAGAATATAATGATGATGGAAATACAAACGTTATTCTACATTTATTATTCACTGACTGCCATCACCTGTAAGATAAATCTTTGTAAGGTAGAGATACAAAATACTCCAAACCCAACTAAAGAATGGAAAAATACAGCATGCCAAAGAGCACTAACCTGTATACTCAGAGAAGCCAACTGATGAATGGGATCTGTCCAGTTTGACCCAACCCCATCTTCCTCCGCTAAACCTCCACCAAACTGAATACTCTTAGCCACACCTTCTTGTCCTCATTTTCTTTTTGTATGTTATGCTCTTGGCTCCCCCCACCCCATGTTTGGTAGTTTCCTGCTTATTCTTCTTTAATATCTAGATTGTATGAGGCTGTCCCTCATACCCCAGACAAAATCTTTGGGCCTATCACATGCTGGAAACTAAAAAGAGCAGGGATATTTGTCAGTGCTTTTCACCAATGCAACCATCTAGAATAGTTCCTAGGACTTTATAGGTGCTGAATAAATATTTATTGAGTAAATGAATATTTCAATTGAATTAAAAACAATCTCATTAATTATCACATTGCATTCTGACTATTTCTGTAGGAAGACTGTGAGGCCATATTGACACTCAAATGTTGACCAGAGAGAGTATCCCCATGTGGTCAAGAGATAACTGTAGAATGAATGTGAGTAGAATTGTGGATCAATACATGGAAAGGTGGAACTCCAGATCAGCTTTGATATGACCATGTGTCAATAAAACTGGAAGAAAAGAAGGAGAAAAAGACATTTCTGCCAAGTAAATCCTTTGCAAAGCCTCTTAATTCAGTATTGGAGAACTCCCAGACTTATTGTTCTTATGAGTTTAGAGTTGTACCAGCTTGTAATAGTCCATGATATCTGACTGTTAAAATGTCAGGAATCTTGCAAACCAATTAATGGTTGTTAAACAATGCCATTATTAAAAATAACCTGAAATTTCATTCACTTGACACATTTTAAAGGCAACAAATATTCAAAACACATGATTTCCTCTTGCTTCACTGCATTTTATCATTACTATATTAATATATATGCTATCTAATTAATTATTATACATAATATTTGCCATACTATATATAAAATAGTGATATATTATATATGCTCTTGAGGTTATGTACATCTTATGGATCTGCATGGTAGGAATAGTATGTAATGTGAGACTACTCCCTATGTCTTCTCAATTCTGCATTCGCTGATGTCATGGTGGTAACTTGAAATCTACCATTGGGGGAATATGTACAGTGATCAATATTTGTTTGTTCCTAGTGATTTGGTAGTTAAATATTTACCAGTACACCACTGAATATCTTATTTCCAAGCATTATTTATCCATGGAAACCTTGGAGTGTGATGTGTCTGCACTACTTAAACAAAATTCCCCAACTGCTTTATGTGGTGAACATGTTGACCTCTCCTACTGAACCTAGGAAATATTGGTAGTCTGTGAAAGAAGGATGCTCTTTTAAGCAGTCTTGTGAAAGATAGAAATGTTTTAATGCTCTTTGCAAAATGAAACTGTCTTTAGGAGTTCTGTTCAGCTCTGCTACCTGTTAGTGATGCAGTAATTAAAAAAGGTGCATCAAGCATACTGCTTTGCCCCAAAGAGCAAAATCTCCTCATTAATATTTAACAACATTAACAGAAACTGGATGCCCCCAAGCTGTGGACATCTTCATTAATTTCTGCTAAATGTATATTAAAATCTCTCATACTGCCCAAACTTCTTCCTATCTCAGGCGTCTACATGATTTAGACAAATAAGCAGATCTAGCTGCTGCTCCAGCTTCCTAGGGAAAGGGGCGTAATGTGGACTTGTGAGGTTTGGACAGAATGCACCTGATTTGCCTCAGGGAAGTGTACTGCCAAGATTCTGCAAATACAAAAGCAATTTCCTCCAAGAAATAAGTCACCTTTGTGTCTTCCTTGATTATGAAAGTTAAACTTCTAAAAGTTTAAGGGAAAATTTGTTCATTTCCAGGAACCTGAATATCTTCCAAACCCATCCAGGAAAAAGTCTTAGATTCTGAAGAAGGAATGGCCAGGGCCATTCAAAAAGCCTCTGTAGGTCAGAGTCAGAAGGGACACTTATATATCTAGGTCCAATCCCTTCAGTTCATAGAGTGAAAAGGAAAAACCTTTGTGGCCAAAGGGTGCACACAGCTGATAGGGGCAGATGGAGGTGATAATCGAGACTCCTGGAACTTGTTCTACATTAGCACAATCCTATGGGGCACCCTTTTAATCATTCATAGTCCTCAAGGATGATATTCTGAAACTCTTCGCTAACCACAAAGTAATGGTCTCTTCCAGACAAGCTGCAGGGCTTTCCGCGTCTCAGACTGTGCATAGCCCTATCAGAGCCTCCCTGACCCCTACTTACTTCACCCTCCCACCTGGCAGTAGAAATTCCAGGGCCACAGTTCCATAGGTGCCCCCGCCCCATCTTGAGAGGCAGGATACCATGGTGGCTTGAGATCAGGTAGATCTTGTCAGGCACAATATAAATACTCAATAAAACAAAATCATCATGTATTAACAATTAACATCATCATAGTTTGACTACATAATAAGCTAAATGCAGTCATACAGGAAGACAGGCAGTTATCTACAAGCCATTTCAAAAATTGTTTGTCTTACCCAACAATCATCCTTCAAACATTTTTACTCATCTAATTTCACTCTATCCATCTGTCTTATCTCTCTCTTCACCAATACCCTTCTCCTATATCTACTCTGATTATGGCAGTCCTTTGTCCATTTCTCTGAAGGGCTATTTTCCTTGACTTACTCAGCAGCAAATTTACATAGCTCCACCACCACCTCCTCTATCAGATACAAGAAATGGAGGCACAGAGAAATAAATTCACTCAAGACAATGATTTTCTGACTCCAGAATCCTGAGTCTTAGTACGTTGAAGTGGCTGCCTTCCATGTATCTACCAGCATGGGGACAGACATAGAGCAAAGTTACCAAGTATTAATGCAGAAGACACACGGGAAGAAGTTTTGGGGCATTTCAGCACATAAATTTGGGTGAGTCTAAAATCCATTCAACCTTTAGTATTATGTATATGGATCACAAGTAAGCATTTTTCCTATCGTAGGCAAGTCAAAGTATAAACAAAATGATAATACTAAACTCTCCTTCCAGTAGTTGGCTGATAAGTTTAAGTAGGCTCATTCATATAAAAGACTTGGTACAATACCTGATACACAGGAGGTGCTCAGTGAAAGCTACATTGAGTTAGCAGTTGGGTGTGGGGAAGAGATGAGGACTAGTCCCTGGATTCTCACTGAACAAGTGTATTTGAGCCTCCCAGAAGGTTACTCCTCTATAGAAAGCCCTCATGTTACTTCAGAGCAAGCCCCCTATGCTCTCTTTTCTTCTAACACCAACTAGACTCTAATGACCTTAATTTTCAGTGAGAATTAATTCCTGGCTCCTAACCAGAGCCATGATGAATGTTGCTGTGGAATAGTTCTGCAGAGTAAGATTGAGACTGGGGGGATTTGAGGTTCCTTGATTGAAGCATCAACATTTATAAATGTTCACATTTATTACTGACACCCACTCTGGTGAAAGTTGTGAAAGCCAGTAGTGTCCTGCAGGAAAATGCTTCTGAGACTATAAATTCCTTATTTTAAGCAGAGCAAGGTCACAGGTCAAAAGCTTCCCTATGTGAATCTAGGTTGTAGCCTTCAACACTTCCACCAAAATGAAGAGGTTCAATTCACCTTTCTCATCCTCCAACCCCTAAACTGACTAAAGTAGGTTATATCCTCTCCCTGCTGTCTCTGAGACTTAAACTTTGCCTGGACCATTCAAATGAGCAAGCCCTGATTTGGCTTAGGGAAACAACTAAATGGAATATACATGGTAATTGCTGGCCACTTGCGGTTCCTCAGTTAATAATACTTCCTGGTAGGGAGGACAATTGAGAAGGACACAAGGCTATAAAACTGTTGCCATGTATTCATTTCCAGCATTAGCACTCAAGACATAGACACAAATATTATTTGATGACAAAAACCATATTTTAAAACCAGCAACCATGCTTATTGAAACAGACTTAAAAACAAAACAAATTCAAACAGTCGATCCTATTATCTCCCCCCAAATGACTATAAATAATTCAGAATTTTCAGAAATCAAAAACTCCTTCTCCTATACTCAGAAATATTTAAAAAATACATTTTAGGCCATATGGCTTTTTTGTTATTATTTCTGATTATGACCACCAACCAGCATCAAACCTTGTCTGCCTGTTTACTCTGCGTCAGACTCAGTTTCTTCTACCTTCTTTTTAATATGTGCTTTGATTGACCATGGGGATATAAACATACAATATCTTACATATCGAAAAATCTACTAAGTCTTCTTGGAGACCATATACCTATTACAAGTCCAACACCAAAAGTCAAAACTACTTCAAGTGAAATTGTTTTAGACTTAATGAAACGTTTATATTAAACTCCATCTATAGTAATAAACCTTAGTCATTTGGAGATGAGATTTAATTTTATACTAAAAAAATGTTCCTTCTGAAACATAAAGTAAATCTCAAATAATAAGATGTGTTTGATTTCTGGAGAAATAGCAAGTGTAGAAGAGGATTTATTTAACCCTGCATCTGAACCCCAAATACTTCTCTCCCAGTTACATAACTATGATGAAGTAACTTACGGGCAAGATGCTCATCTTTTTTGTCACTGAAACGGCAATAGTAAAGATCCTGACATTATGGGGTCTTGGATCCAGATAGTAGCTCTACCAACACAAATCTGAGAAGCACAGAATGCTTTGCAAGAGCTGCCACTCCCCACTGCTTTGCTTAGAGATGGATTCTGACAATAGTCCATAAAGAAGGGGGACTATTCAGAAATACTTTAAGCAATGCCATTAGCATAAAATAAATGGATAATGCCCAAAGGTACTACTTTGAAGACAGTGCTTATTTGAATGTAGAAGCTCTGTTTTATTTGCTATAAATCCTATGGGGACCACTTAACCCTGGGGTACAAGATTCACAACAGTAGCAGCAGTTCCCATATGTTGCAGGCCTATACTGTACACCATTAGGCTAAATGCCTTATCTATATTAATGATCTATACTCATTTATTTATTAATTCATTTATTTCTCCCTAGAACCCAATAGGATACGTGTTATGTATTTTTATTTTGCAGCTAAGGAGGTGAAGGCACAGAAATTAAGAAAATTTCTTAAAGTTAAAAAACTGAATATCAGCAAAGGGATTTTTATCTAGACCAGTAAATGTTAATGGAATTACTGAAGGAAAAATATTTCCATTATAATTCTGTTGCTTCTGACTTATGAAGCCTCCTAACAATGGGTGAGGGTCTGCTAAAGGTCAGAGAGAGACGGGAGAATCTGTAGTATGACATACTCAAAGGCAGTATGCCTCGATAGACTCAGTCTGCAGCAGGACAGAAGGCAATCTGAAATTTGTGTTCTGAATATTCAAGCTGACATAATTCTGAATGGACTACTGTACACCTTGCTATGACTATTTTGCTGGATTGTGGCTGATAATTAAAAATTATTCTCCTGGCTTCATTCACATGGTAGCTTGTAACTGTATTCCCAGCTACTTGGGCTGCAATGTTCAAGGTGAGCCCAGGTAAAATGTTCGCAAGATCCACATCTCAAAAAACAAGCTGAACATGGTGGTATGCACCTGTAAGCCTACTTATTCAAGAGGCAAGGTACAAGGATCATGGTTGGAGGCTGGCTTTGGCAAAAATGTAAGACCTTTTCAGAAAAATAACTAACACAAGAAAGGGCTGCAGACAAGTGGTAGAACATCTGCTTAGCAAAAGTGAGGCCCTAAATTCAAAGCTCAGTACTGCCAAAAAATTACTTTCCCAACCTTTTCTCCCAAAGGGGCAAAATTGCCATAGAAATGGTCTTACTATTGAAATTTAAATTCAAATGGAATTTAAATGTACTAAATGAATACATCACATTTTAATGAATCTCACTGAAGTCAAGCTTTTCACAGAATAAGTTCAAGGATGAAGAGCAGGTAGAGCACCCATTTGGCTTACAGTTATCAGTTATACTCCCAGTAGAAAGTGGGAAACAAAAGATGGCTTCCAGGAAAAGTCATAACTATCTGGATGAAATGAGGATGGAAGGAGGGGGGCTGCTGGTCAGGGGCAACTGCTCAGCAGCCACTTGGGTTCAGTCTGCAATTAAGCACTAGAGGAGTCCAAATGCAACACCATCATTGCTCCAGTCCTTCCCTGTTTATAGGCTGATGCTCAAGCTGTTAGCTGTGTCTTCTCACTGGGGTGAGCTATGAAAATAATCAAATTGACCTGCTTTTGACTTGGATTCAGAGGACGAATTCACCTACCTGGGATTAGCATGATACCAATATATTCCTAGAATTGGGAAGTTTTTGACTCTCTTAAAAGGAACAATATTCAGAATCGTGCTACACCTCTTTATCGAATGTTTACTATGGACTAGGTACTGGGAATTCAACAATGAGTAAAGTCAAAAGCAGTCACAGCACTTGCTTTCTACTGGGGAAAGAAAAGTGATAATAAAACATTCAAAAACATGATCACCTCATATGGTGATTAATACTAAGAACACGATAAAACAGAGTAATGTGCTAGAGAGTGCCAGGGTATAGGTGAGATTCGGCAGTCTCAGAAGACGTTTCTGAGAAGCTAATAATTTTGTTAAGAGATGAGTGTTTCAGAGGTGCCAACCATGCTGAGATTTGGGAAAATTCTTCCCTAGGAATGAACCTGGGCTAATTAAGGTAAAGGAAATGGTAGTGTGGCTTCAATACAGTGAATGAGAGAAGGACAGTAAGAAATTTAGACACAAAAGGATGTCAGGTCAAATGACCTACAAAGGAGCAAGCCAAGGAAAGAAAGAATATTTTAAGCAAGATAGGAAGCCACCAGAATATTTTTAGCATAGGATCACATGATATGATTTGGATTTTTAAAAATATAATTTTGGTGCTGTGAAGGGAATGGATTTTAAGGTGACAATGGAAGAGGTATAAAGAGAGTTAATAGGCTCTTGGAGTGATCCAGACAAATGTGGAGATGGGTGGAAGTGCTTATGGGTAGAGTGTATTTTGAAGGTAAAAACCCTAAGGACTCACTGATGGTCTGCGTCTGAGAATAAAGGAAAAAGAGACAAGCCCTCCTGGAATTTTTTATTTTAGCCACCGTGTAGACATCTGTGCATTCTTAACAAAGCTGTGTAGATAAGATAAACACATGTCTCTGTCCAAGAGGAGAGGGGTAAATATTTGGATATTTGGAATATAGCTCATATAGTTATGGGTAAGATTTAAATCTCAATAGGTGAGATTTAAAGTTATTCTTTGTCACTCTCAGCAGAGGGAGAATTATAGTCTTTAACACCTTATTAAATATTTCAAAATATCCAGGAGAGTCAAAAATTCTCAGTGCAAAGAAATGATCAACATTTGAAAAAATGGAAATACTAATTACCTTGATTTGATCATTACACAATGCATATGTATATAAATTATCATGTAGCTAAATGTAAACAAATATTACATATCAATTAAAATAAAAATAAAAGGAAATGATAATAGAGAGTTTGCATGGAAGCACAATTTAAGTGAACGTGGCTGAAGGTACCTGTGCAAGGCATAGCTCTCCAAGCTCCATCAGTGCCAGCCCAACCCCTCCGGGACTGTTCTACACAGCTACAGACTGATGATGTGAGAAATCTCCCTTGGGAATGCTGCTCAGCAAGAGCAATGATCTTTCTTGTGACAATGCCTCATCCTGTCCTCCTTTTAACTATGCAGACTTCCCAACTGGTCCAGTAACTAGGCCACAGACCCACCTCCTACCTCTGGGTCATGCCTTTCTCCACTAATCCCATCTTTACCCCCACCCCACAAATAAGTAAAAAGCTGGTTAGAAATTGTGATGATATGCCAAAGGACTCACCACTCGAAGTCCCAGTCAGCACAAACACAGGGTTCTGAAACCACCGACCCTGAGTAGTCTCGGCCCAGGGCACACTGAGCTCCTGGCTTGCGTTTCTTGAATATTTTCCTTTCTCCCATGACACAAGGCTCTCCCTTAGAGAGAAAGTCCATAGTGAGAGAGGCAGAAAAAAAAAAAAACATAAGAAGTAAAATAAGCCAGCTTGTCAACAAGAATCATTGGCCTTTTCATTTTCTTTTTAAAAAGTCTCTCCACGGAGCAATCACATTCCCAGTAACTATCCAGGAGTTTCAAGAGCAGAAGTACTTATCTTTTACCACTGCACAAAAGGAATATTATGGGAGGATGTCCAATACCACCATATCCCATGATGTCTACATCAAATCCTATTTCTTGTCTACCTCTGTAGAGAATTCAAAGATGACAGGCATCCTCACAGACCATGCTACTGTCCCAGTGGCTTCAATAGCAAATCTAGAGGAAAGAAGCCTATTTCTTGCATATTTTTCTCATATCATTTGCCCAGTAAAACTGAAGTTGACACAAAAAGTTCCCTCTCTTCTGATAAATGATCATACTCAAGTCCTAAATCCTAGTCAAGGATAAAAAGAAGAAGAGAAGTTGATGTAAATTACATGAACCCAAAGGTTTGGAAGAATGCAGAAGCCTGCTGATATTGCAGAAACACTCAGCACTGCTAGACCCACTCACCCTATATCTTTTCTCATCAGTCTCTTTCTGAATGCTCTAGGGCTGGTTTGAGAACATGCTTTACCCCTCCACAATGGCAGGGCCAGTGAGCAAACTGTTGGAGACTTCCTAGCTGACTGGTGCACACTTCTCTTCAGATCAAGCTAAAACACAGGTTATTGTCATTCTGTCTCTTCCAGGCAGCTCAGTGAATTCAATGAGTACATTGAACCCCAGGGTGCAATCCCATGTTTTCTAAATATTATCCACTTCTGTGTGGCCTGAGGGTCTACAACCATTTCCCCCAAATCCATACCTACATCTTCAAATAGACTACTACCTTCTTCCCCCAAATAGTATGGCCCAGAGATGACTAAATCCAGCTTGCAGTAGCTCCTTCTAGAGGCCAGCTCTCTCTGTCATGGGTATACCTGATTGAGCAGGTGCCAGGTCTGATAGTCCTCTTTGGTGCAGCGCCGGCTGAAGATAGACTTGTAGTCCACTTTCACCAACTGCCATTCGGAGCGCAGGCTGAAGTGACCAAAAACTCTAAGTGTTTAGGAAAGAATGGAAAACAAAGCAGAGGAGACCCATAGTCAGTCAGTAGTGCACCAGACTGTGAGGAGTTGGAGGATTTCAGTGTACCCTGGACTTTTTTTTTGTTCTTCCAAAGTGACAAGAATCACTGTGCTCACAGTTTGACCCAGTTGGTGTTTCATTCACCAACTGGATTTAACATTAATCCAATGGATTAACATTAATCTTTTTTTAATTGAAAAGTAATATAGATTCTTTGTGGGAAACATTTAAAATATCAAAAGTACAGAGACAGAAAGTAATATACATAATAGTCAAAAATCCAACACCTAGATAAAATCAATGTCACATTTTAACACACAGCTCTCCCATTTCTCTTTAATGTAAGTACTGGTATTTTATCAATGTCTTCTGACAGAGACAGTTCCCTCATCTGTAAAGTGGAGAGAGATGGAGAGAGAGAGAATTAGGAGAGGGGGAATGGGTTAGCTGATCTAATATATGACCTTACCAATGCCAAAATCCTGTGACTATATCTAAGTATATTTTAGTTGAAATTCTACCTGCCTAACATGAATGCCCACTCTCCCTTCTTCCTTTTTCTAAAAACCAGTTTCATAAAAGGAACTCATATTTATGTATAGTGAGGAAACATACCATCTGTGTGACTTAGATAATCAATACTAACCTTTTCAAATCCCAGTAGTTGATAGCACTATAAATATGAGTGATCAATCATTTCTAGAAAATATAGAAAAAAGACTAATCATCCATACTTGACTCTGGTGGCATGTCTTACAATTACAATGCAAGACATCTATCACAGTGATGTACAGTGGAGACCAATCATGCTGGGAGCTTAAAACAACTGAAGTCTCTCAAGGAATTGGATGATGTCCATTTTAGCAAGACATAATTGCACTATCAGCCCTTAATTCTCCTCTGCTTACATTCAGATATTCTTTGGTGACAAACCAAGAGACTAACATTCCTCAAAGCACATTTCCTTCTACTATCTGAAAGATGAAAATGCTTACAGGAAGGATGAGCATTGACCTAAATTGTGAAATGGAGAAGAAATAGGATTGTTTTTGTAGATCATATGACTTAAAATACAACTCAGGAAATAACTTTGAATGTTAACAGGTACATTTTTTTCAAAAAAATTAGAGCTTTTTCTAAAATGTATTAAATAGACTTTGAGAAGGAAATTGAAGGATCTTTCTTTTAGCAAAACTGCATGGTCTTTGTATGAACCCTAGGTTAACATGGGGTGATAGAAGCTTGCGCCTAGAATTAGCCACATATGTGGCTGATAGTATGCAGAGCAGAGTGAACACTTAACTGTCTCTCTGCTAGATTCTATTTTCTAGCAGTTTTGCTAAACTCAGAGCATCCACTAAGGATTCAGAACTTTTAGTTCTGAATTTATTCAGAGTTCTCAAGTCAATCCATTTAAAAATCTTTAACAAAATAGACATCTCTTATCATAAATTTCTAGTTGTTTGAAGAAAGGAAAGTTAAATTGATAAGCTCATCAGTGAAAACAAAACAGTGGGAGAAGACCTTGACAAATGTCTCCTTCTCTATCTAGCCTATCAAAATCTTCCCACGTTCAAATGCTACTTCCTCTAGTAAGTAATCTGAGAAGCAGAATGCTAGTCATGCTAAATCAAACATTTCTGCCTACTCCAAATAGTTTAGCTATTTCATGCATCTCAAAATACACTATGTCAGATTAATCCCATTCATTTCTATGAAAAGATTACTAGGCAGACAGAAGAGGAAAATATGAGGCACATGATTTACTCGGATGTCACCAAGGTAGTTTATGGGGTCTGGCATGGCAATTTTGAAGAAAAAAATGAAAAACTATGAGTGAGGTGCTGTATGATGTGGCTGAATAGTGCCTAATTAAAGTATTAAAATCAGCCAGGAGGGAGGTGTCAGCAGTCAGCTGCAAGGTTCTGTTGTATGCTCTTTCTTGTTCATCATTTTTATTAATGACTTGAAGACAGGCAAACAATGGTCATCAATGGAAATTGAACTTTTTGATGACACAAAGTTGGAAGTAGCGGTCAATATGTTTAATGGCAGAATCAAGACCCAATCAGGTTTTGACAGTCTAGAGAAATAGATTGACTGAATTTAATAAGATGTGATGTCAGAGGGAGAAATGTCAAGCGTCCCTTCTACTAATGACATAAGTATTGAATAAAATAAACAACAGACTTGGTACAGCTCAGGTCAAATAATAATAATAGCAGTTTAAGAGTTTCCATATACAATATGATCAATACAACTGGACACTTCTGGGAGACCTAAAATACTTAAAATGATTTTGAAATGAATTAACAGAACTCTATACATTCTTTAGAGCAAAAGAAACAATCCCATTAGCCATTTCACAAAGAAAAATTGTGTTTAGTTTAGTATTTTAATATTAAGAAGGACATAGATTAAGCATCAATCTATGGTTCACATTTATACTTTGGTGGGGGTGGAGGATATTGAATCTCCTGAAAATTATAAAAAATATATCTTTATTGGAACAGGTATATTTAGATATGGACAAATCCTATATTTTATTAGGTTACCTAAAGGAGTTCAAAGTTCCCAAGGTTTAAAGACCACTGGAAATAAGAGACTAAGATGTTCTACTGGGTTGAATAACAGCCTCCTGTAAGATATGACCATGTCCTGTTCTCTGGAGCTGTGAAAATGACCTCATTTGGTCTTTGCAGATGTAAGTAAATGAATCTTAAGATGAGGTCATCTTGCATTGTCAAGATTGGCCCTAAATCCAATGACAAGTATCATTGTAACATATACAAAGAAGAGAGACACGCAGTGAGAGGACCACGTGAAAACTGACATAGAAATTGGAGTTGTGTGGTCCTAAGGCAAGAAACACCTGGAGTAATCAGAAGTAAAAAAATTAGTGTTCCCCTAAAAATCCAAAAAAAGTATAGCTTTACTGACCTTTTGACTTTAGACTCCAGTCCCCAGAATTGTGAGATTATAAATATGTATTCTTTTAAGGCATCAATTTATGGTAATTTGTTACAGCAACTATAAGAAATTAGTACAGATAACAATATAATTCAGATGTACTTTTAATCTCTCTGTCCAAGAAGTAGTATAAGAACTAAGGTTGGTTAATATGAAGATGTCGTAGGAAGGGGCAAGGGAAGGAAGAGTAATAGATGGACATTCTAGGTATTTCTTAAGTGTGAAAATTCACAAAATGTGAGAGAACTTTCTAATACATGAAGTTGCTTACAAGGCAAGGGATACTCTGTGTAGTTTGTAACCAGAGAACTTCCAGCTAAAGCTTGATTGTTTCTCAGGATTGATATTGAATGGGGTACAAAGAGCATCCAGGTACACAGCTGAGTGGACTCTGAACCTCTAAGGATATCCTCCATATGGTCAGTTTTCCCAACTCTTTGGATGTCCATTTCTGAACTCAGAGTGTTCATTTCAGGACTGATCACAAGAATAGGGATCAGTCTAAACTTCGGAGAGAGTTCAGATTCTTTTGCAATCTTGGTAAGTAAATTCTTTTCATCTTTATTTCTTTGGCTTTTATCCCAGATTTTCATACATTCTTTTCTTCTTGGATCTTTCCCCAACCTGCAAATTGATACACTGATATTTTCACATGGGGGGATGCTGGTCTAACCTGCAAATTGATACACTGATATTTTCACATGGGAGGATGCTGGTCTGATTTTACACGAGGTTACTTTCATGTGGCAGATGAAAAACTATAATAACTTAAACACTGTTAGGATTATAAGGTTTATTCATTTTCTCAGTGGGCCCAAACTAAGATCAGGGGAACAAAATCCCTTAGCATCTTTCATACATTCGCATTCCCATCCTTCCATCCATCTTCAGTTCTAGGAAGACCATGGCCAATTGTGCCCTCACCACAGTAATGTGTTAGGGACTTGAAGGCATGGTCTCTTTTCTACAAGGACCTGGCTTCCTGCATGCTGTTCAATTTCATGTTTATTCACAGATTAGAGCTTTGGAAGCTGAAGAAATGAAAAATATAGTGAATGCAAGCAAGAGAAAGATAAGTAGAAGATCAAATAAGGACTAATTCATATTTAAGTATTTCTCTTCCATTTTTATAAATACGGATGAAACAGATGTTAAAATCCACAAGGAGATCTATGGAAGTGAGAACTGAACACAGAAATCAGGGTAATCATCAAGAGAATCTATCCATCATTTGGTTCTGATAATCACTGGAAACAGGCACTTGGTCCTGAATTAGGGAAAAGAAAGCCCAGACTGCTTCTAATGAATTATAATAAAAAGCAAACATCAAGTTCCAGAAAATAAACTTCACCATCTGGAAATATTCTAATGTTAAGGAACCCATGGTCAACAAAGTAGTACTCTTCATACTAGTAATATCTTTTTTGGAGAACAAAGTTGTTTGTGTACCAGTGGAAGATGAAATTAATTGAAGATGATTCTTTCCTAGTAGTTGAAAGAATTAAAGACATGGAGAGCCTGTTAAATATTGTCATGCAAGTTAGGATTAAAGTTAGATGTTTTAATCCTAGCACTTGGAAGCTGAGGCAGAAGGATTTCAAGTTTGAGGTTAGCCTGGGCTATATAGAAAACTTGAGGCCAGCCTGTGTTACATAGTGAGACCTTACCTCAACAACAGAAAGAGAGAAAAAGGAAGAAAGAAAGAGACTGAAAGAAAAAGAGGGAAGGAGGAAGGGAGAAAGGAAAGGAAGGAACAGTATGATTCCTAAGTGCTAATTTTTTTCAGAAGATCTTTGTTTTTTCTGGCAACAATGAGCTTTCTTTCTTCAGAAGCTCAAATGCTCCTATCATCAGAGGTTTTTCTAGAGGGCTTGTTAAGTATAGATTGTTCTACCCACAGTTTCTCACTAGTTCATTTGGGGTACCTAAGTATTTGCATTTCTCCTAAGTCCAATGTGATGCTTCTACTGTCCCCAAGATCACACTTGGAGTACTGCAAC